GGGGGGGCATCATGCCCCGGGCGCTACTCACAAAGGGGCGCCAAATGGTCAGCAAAACAAAAAAAATTGTTGGATAATTTTTATTTTTATTATAATTTATTTCTGGAAAATATATTTTAAATTTAGTGCCAGTGAAATATAATAAATGTTAATTCGTAAATAAAAAGGAACACTAATCAAACTGTAATAATATATTCATAATAGAAATGACACGTCTTTTCTAATGGCTGGCTGACTCGACCTGTATCTGTCAGCACTTCCTTATGGCATCTACGCTGTGTGGTTACATATATTATCTCCAAATATTTGCACTGTACAAAAATCGTTTGTATGTTTGTACAGTGTATAATACAGATTTCAATGGAATAGAACTCTTTATCGAAGAATGTGACTGTAAAATGTTACTCCTTTGTAGAAAAGAAATTGAACTTAAAACTCCATTAGAATTTCTTACTTTTATAATCCCGTATGGAGAAGATGTTTTTCCAAACCTGAGAGTGGCACTTCAAATACTCCTGACTATCTCAGTATCAATTGCTAACTGCGAATGGTCATTCAGCAAATTAAAATTAATTTTGACATATCTACGATCAACGGTGGGACAAGATCACCTAAGTGACCTGGCATTTTTAAGTGTGGAAAGAGAAAAATTTGAAATGATCAACTTTGATGATATTATTGATAAATTTGCTTCATCAAAAGCGGAAAATTTACACATAGTAATTAGTTTTATAATTGTATTATAATCATATTATTAAATATATGTATCTCCTTAGAGATAATAAATATTTACTTTTTTATTGTTTTAAAACTGCGTGTTTTTAAAATATTTCTTCATAAATATGTAAAATAAATAATGGGTATCTTTTGAACTAATTCTAGATGATCATATACATTTCAAAATCTAATTTTGTTTTCTCAACTACATTTTTTGTCTCAAATTTAATGCCTAGCTTGAGCCTATGACTTTATTTATTTTACTTAATTTATTTATTACTTTGCGAGTATATTTTACTTATAATATTAGATGGTTTTCGAGTGAGGGGGGGGGGGCGCTAAAAAGGTATTGTGCCCCGGGCGCGAGTTAAGCTCGCTACGGCACTGCTGATGGTAGTAAAGATTGTATAACTACGTTCTATTCTTCATACAGTATTTCAACTGAATATTTTTGCAATAAGGGTATATTAACGTTGTTTTCAGCTGGTTTTTTTGAAAACATAGCTTAATAGTTTTTTTTTAGTTTGTTGTGCTACTTTTGAATTTTCTATATCCAGTTTGGAATATTTAATGACAATAAGGTCTGTTTTTAAGACAACGCAGCAAACCGTACATTTTTATCATCTTGCATTTTTTTCATAAATTTTTATATACTTTCCGTCATTTCTGTAAGACCAGGAATTAAAGTAAAATTATTTCCTTACTAGCGACCATATATATCCAATATCCATCTACAAGATATCCAAAACCATGAAAATGATCAAACACCTCCAGCAATACACATGGGATAAAAAAAATCTAAAAATACACATGAGAAATATTTTCAAGAGTTGCAATGGGACTAAACAACTCTCTAACCGCTAGAATCTCTTTATCATCGGGCCGTAAGAGAAGGTTCAAATTTAATGTCATTAAATAGTTTTTCGAAATGACTATTTTTATTTTTGTGATTTGTCATGTATTTCCCATGATATCTCTATTTGGAACTATTTTCAGACATTTTCATTTTGCAATCACAACATTACCTATGACTGAAAAGGCAATAACCTACACGTTGAACTTTAATACTTTTTTTCTGGAAAACTCAAACCTTCAATAAAAAAATAGAGAATCCTATTTAAAATTTTTAAGTTGCACCTCAACTCCACCTCAGGGGGTGAGATTTAGGGTCCCGTTTGGTGTCATTAAATGCATCGTTTGAAAATATTCCATGTACTTTTAGATTTTCGATCACATGTGTACTTCCCGAGATATTTAAATGTTTCTCTGTTTGGATACTCTGCAATTGAATCATAAGAAACCTTAAATTGGTGGTTAATAAACATAAATTTATACACTTTCTTTCGTTGATTGCAATATATTTTCCAAACAATTCCCTTATGTGAATCGGTATTGAAAATAAGGCAAAAAATACTTAATGTAAAAAAGTAATATTTTATTAAAAAACATTTAATTTACAAACACATAATTTAATACCTATTATAGTTAAAGTTTTTCTTTATGATTAGCTTCTGATTTCTTTTCATTTTTTGAATCTTGCTCTTTTTGCTTCTCCTTCTCTTTGTTTTCTACTTCCTCCTCACATGTTCCCCATGTTTGAGGTTCTGATGTTCCAAATAGAACAAATATTAAAGTAGAAATGGCCACTACTCCTATAATTATGTAATAAACAAACCTCCACTGCGCTCTGGATCGCTACAAAAAATAATTTAAGTTCGAATAAATATTTCGGAACAAAATAAAAATGTAATAAAAAACATATTGAAACAAGCAAAATGAATATTTCAGATTCACCCTTGTGCTAAAAAATATTCTTAAATTTAATTTTTTAGAGTCAAAAATAGCATTATCCTTATAATTATTTTAATTATCCATTGTTTTCCCTTTAATTTTCTTCTCCATTTTTTTCATTCCATTCCATTTTCTTTTCATAAATGAGCTTCATTTTGAGTTAATGTGATTTCTTACACTATCTGAGTTATTAATTTCAAAAAAAAATTCCAAACCATAATGTTAAAGAATTGAAAGAAAATTTTTACTTTCTCTTATCTATCTACAGCAATCAACTCATAGTAAGTTTCTCAAAAATCATTTAAGAGAATTCATAAATGTGTGAAAAAGTCAAAATATATTACATACTTAATCCTTTAGTATCATGTGATTCAGAAAAAAAACGTATGATTTAAAAAAATATGTATAAAAATAAATATTTTGTTTTTTATCATTAAAAATTAATTTTAGTCCGTTTGTAAACGTTAAAGTTACATAGCTTTCAAAAAATATTTCTTTAATCAACTCAATCCCAAGAAGTGAGCAATGGCGCATTAAGGGACAAAGTGTAAAGTTCTTAGCACAAAAAAAATAAATAAAAAATAAATAAATAAATAAATTTTTTTTGAGGAATTTGTAGTAGATCTTGCCATGGGAGTTAAACTTGAATAAGCCATTTTAATTGCAACTAGGAATTTTTCAAATGGTACATAAATTTATCAATATTTTTAAATAGCTTCTGGTTTTTGCTCTATCACAGATTAGTTTTATGTCTGTAAATAGTTCGGAAAATCAATTAGTTTAATATGATAATATTTGAATCTAACTTAAATGTATTTCAATGTTGATGAAACCTTTCAGAAACATAAATGAAAGGTTTAAATTGGGCAGTAGTTCATACGCTTCTGTGACTTTTAAAAAAAAATTCAAACGTCGCAAACGTTATAAAATTGTTACATCTATTACAGTGATGTTTTCTTTTTAAAACTACATAAAGTATTTCTAAGAGACGGAATTGTAAACATGTTTACAATAAATCAACCAAGCGCGTCCCAGCTGTAATATTTGATATATAAACATAATAAGTACTTTGGCTTATACCATATGTTAGCATCTGTGTTACCGAATAAGACCAATCAGCACGGTATGTTATATCCGATTTAAAGAACTAGTAATGAACATATTTAAATCTAAATTTCAAAAAATACACGGATACAACTCCTTAATAACATCAGTACATAAAAATAGCAGAACACAAAAAATTCAACTTAGTATTTAATACATATAGTATAACTTAAATTTTCTCACCTCGTGTGTGGTGAAAAATCCAACCAAAGCAGGTATAACAAAAAACGGTACAACTCCAATTATGTTTAAAACTGCAGACAAAGTACCTGTAAATAGAATCGATTAAGGTATAACCTTTCTGAAACATCAATATAATATTAAAATGCGTTTTTTATGGACAATATTTTTGAAGACTTTATATCTTGGCTCTCGTAAATCAACCCGCACGAGTTAATTGATTTCCTAGATAAATACAGTTGTAAAACACAATTTTTTATGCTAATTACTGCTAATTAGCATTAATTTACAGCAAATCTTGCGATTGAAATAGATATTCAAAAAATGAAATATCTGAGAACATTTATGCAAAGCATTCCAAGTCACTGACATAGAAAAGGAAACAATTTTAAAATCCGTATAATTTTTTTAAAATTTTGAATAGAATATGTCACTGTGGTGAGGTTTTGAAAAATCATGTAACTATTTTTTTAAAAATTTTCTGGGTATATTATTATCTGTTTAGGTGAAAAGAAGTACACTTAAGTGATTCTTACGATTCAATTACTTAACAATAAGCAAATGTGAGATTTTTTTTAGGATACAGATTTGTATATAAATGGCCCAAATGGCGGATAAATTAGCATCACATTGCGCAAACCCAATAAAATATTTATTATTACGAATGTTATAAGCATGAATGCATTAACGTACCTGATAAGTTTGGGGCAATGTCAACTCCAGCCATGCAAACTCCAAATGTTACAAAATCACCTAATAAACCACCCAAGGTGAAGAATACTGTATTCAGAATAGGATCACACCCTGCTACAATAATGGCTACAAATCCAAGGCAAGCAAACACGGAATCTTAAAAAAGGAAAACAATAACTCAGTTAATGAATACCAACTTCAAGAAGCAAAAAGTATCAGCGTTTAGAGTGTTAATATTTCGGTCAAAACGACAAAGTTAGAATTTTCTTACAAACTATTAAGAAAACATGAAATAATTTTGATAATAGTATACAATAATAGCCTGTTAATAAGTTTCTGTTAGATGTTTTGAAATGAAAGCTATTTTTATAGATTTGCGATACTTGTTAAAATATAAAATAACGAAAAATTCTGCACTTTAGATGCAGCCGATCAAGCTTCACTCATTTGAAAACCGATTATTTGAATTGTTTAATTAATCGAATCAATGAATTTTTTTTCTTGAGTCGCGAGGCTCAAGGGATAAAACGTTCGGCTCACATTGAGGTACAACAGGTTCGAATCCAAGAGGTAGATGGTTGATACGAATTCTTCTCATGGCTTGCACCAATTAGAGTGCTGACCTAAAATATTCTCAGTGATAGAAGGATCAGAAGTTAGAATCTCCCTGGTTAGAATCCATCAGGCTAACCGTGAAATTGTTTGGTGGTTTTCCTATCCCTGCAACGCAAAGTTACGGAGTTGAACATTTATAGTCATAAACTCAGAATTGTGATGGCTGTTCAATTCCGGTTAAAAAAAATTGATAATTTTTTTTTGGTTGTCTAGAAATTGAAATTACAATAATTGCCATGATATTGTTACTCAAAAATGAGATAGTTAAAAGACAGGAGAAATAAAACGAAACAGCAAGCTCTTGCATAAATTAATATTTAAGTGAGGAAGGACAAAAGCATATTTAATCTTGACCAATCACCAGCGAAATTAGTAAGAGCAAATAATGGAATAAATCCTTCCAAAACCAATTTATTTGAGAATAAAACTTTAAAGAGGATCCTAACAAAGAACAAATGAAATCCAGTCCTATTCACGCTCTATAGAAGCTAATTGTCTTGCTGATTAGGAATAATCTGAACGGTTCGCTAAACTTGGTTCTTCTCAAAAAGGTTAGGCTTAGCTAATACTTTTAACATTGATATCTCTATGCGTGATTTTAAAGCCGCCAAATCGTTTTAATTATAAAAACAACCGGTTATGATGAATTATTCTATCAAGTTTCAGAATGTTCATCACAGTTCAGAATGTTCAGTTTTACACCACAACGAATACTACTGAAATTCGAAATTATGCTGAATCACGCTGCATATTAATGGTGATAATTTCAGAACACAATGGATATATCAAAAGTAAAATTTTGTTATTTACTTATAGCAGTAGCTCCTTTTCTGAGAAATTCCTTGCTGACATAACGTCTTTTCAAAGCCCAATCTGCAGGATATCCACATAAGCAGGCAAATAAACCTCGTACCAAATGAGGCCAGCTAGACAATTCACCAGTCTAATTAAGTACATTTCTCGTAAACATTAATCATTGTTATGTTATACAATTACAAATATTACAAATAATTACACAAATGTGTTTATACATACCATTTTGCTATCTATATTTAGAATAGTTCCCATGTACAAAGCCTGGACCGAGCAGAAAAACCCTAAAATCCAAAATTGCCCAAAATACCCTATAGCCAAAGACCAGAAAGCTTTAGATTTTAAAATAGATTTCCATGGAATCTTTTTGATCTGAAAAAATTTGATTAAAAATGCTTTAAATAGTTTTTTTGGTGGCACTTTAATAAATGCATATTTAAATTATCTGTGCATTTTTGAAGAAAACTTTTCTGACACCACAGGATTAAATAAACTGCTATTGTATGTTTTCATTTATTAAAAAATATTAGATATGATACAAATGATAATAATAATATGATGCTAATGACAAAATATAAAATATGCACCATATGAAGGAAGTAATTGTATGTGCAATGCGGGGAAAAAAACGAATAACCCCCAATAATTTTTATTCTAATGATCGGATCTTCACGTTCTAGGACTCAATCTTAATGGCTCGAGGGTGTGACTTCAAATATGCTAATTAATTATTGCTCATGATATTTTAATCCCAATTTGAACACAAAAACACACTTTCTCTGAATAAACATACCTTTTTTTTTGGACTGATTCAGTTACCTTACCTTTAAAATATAGGGGTTAGCCGCAATCTGGTATATATGGTCCCCATAGTTTGTATCCCTCGTAACCCACGATAGGTGTGCTCTCAGTATAATGTGTAGTTCTAGGTATTATCAAGACAACGACGACCTGTTACATCATTTAGTTATGGATTTGCCAAAAAAATTGACTTCATCATTAAATTTGGAGACTTTTTTTAAATAAAAAATAAGTCATGTTGCTTTTATTTAATAAGAATGTAACATTTTTAGTAAATAATTGTCAAATCTAAATTAAATTCAGAACTTAGATTTATTCAAATCCCTTAACGTATTTTTTTGAAGCTTTTAGGTAAGGAAAGTAAAAAAACTGTTCTACACTTAAATCAAAGCCATAGTTTTAAACTGTATATCTTGTGCGAAGAATTGTCTGAACTTTAAAACGGATAAATAACTTAAATATTTTAAAAGTTGCTAAACTTTTTTTAAAAATCTCCAGTTTGGTGACATTTTCTACCTAGGTGAAAATTCTCAAAATTAATGCCATATTCAATTTTTTTTTTTGCAAATTTTTTATTAGCCCGGATAATGCTGCAATTAGTAAGTTTTTAAATATTAAAAAGTTAGACCACAAACGCTTTTCATTTTCTCAAAACTGTGAATTTTCTCCATATTGATGTTTTACTCCGTTTTCAGAATAAACAGAGAGGTTGCGTGCTAACGATAGGTTAAACTTGACCTAAAAGTTATGAATAAATTTTGCAAACTTACAGTACTTATAAAAATTGTATATTGTTCGCAAAAAAGCTTAATTTCATACAACGATAGCCTTCTAAAAATAGCTTTAAAGTTGCACTTTCCAATTAAATGAGAAGTACATTTTTAAGAAACTTACACAATTCTAAAGCAAAAACTATAATTACTCTTCATAGCAGAATCATCATCATAAAAACATTGCAATGTATTTAAGTAATTCTAAAATGTACTTAAACTGAAGTAAGCAAAAAATAGATTATGTTCAAATTATCTTCAAGAATTCTCTCGCTCTCTTTGTCTTAACACATTCACGCCGGGGTACCCACCGGTGGGTCACGCTAGATTGTCTCATCTTGGCAGCGCACCGAAGTAAAAACTGGTAACAATAAATTTCATTTTTTAGTTTTTTTTCCGGGAATGATTAAAATCCATAACTACCAATTGTTTTTAACGGATGCAATTTTTATATTGAATTGCTTCTTTGCCGTGATAAATTTCCTTACAGTGAATTGTTATTGTTGAGAATAGATTAACTCCTCCCGAATATTATCTAATATTGAAATAGTTCTTCTACCAGTATTTTCTCTTCTCCCGTACCAGTATTTTCACTTTTCCCGGCGTGAACGTGTTAATGTACAAAATATTTACCAACATTTTAATCAAATTCAATACCTCAGTCACTCAAATACCATGCCAAGATATACGTAGCCAGATATGCGAACTTGCTCCGGACAGCAAATATATATTTTAAAGTGGTAGTTTATCAATTGTGATTCTTGGTTTCATAAATCCAATTTAGTAGATTTTCATCCACCACTATTTCTAAATCATTCGTAGGCTTATATAATTCACCGTTTTATAGTACTTATGTCATGCTATATCTTTTAAAAAGCAAGCAAAAATAGTCAAATATTTGCAAAATTTACTTTGTAGCTATTTACCGTTTTTTTAATCATTTTGACGTGCCCGGAGCAGTTGGCATCTCTGCGCAGCATAAAGCAGTAATGTTACTTGAAATAAAATTTTGTATTCCAAGTACCATTTATTATTTCTATAGATATTACTTTGAAAAATGCAATTCCTCTCGACATAATAAAGGTATTTTTAGTTTTATATTAAGAAAAAAATAGCTTCTTGGATGGTGTTTTTACGTATTTGAACGTATTGTTAATAAGTATATTATGAGATAATCAAATATTTTCGGCTTTAAATAGCTTACCTGTTTTTGTTCTGTTGGTCCTAAATTTCCTGCAATGTATTTTAGTTCTTTTTCAGTAATGTTAGGGTGATCTGTTGGCTCGCCATAAATTAAGAGGTAGCTCAGACTACACCATAAAAATCCACAAATACCTTTAATAATTTAAAACAAAATCACATCAAAAGATGAAGCACAGCATGTTTATAAATTCAATGGACAAAAATAAAAATTTCTTTCGTAAAAAACTATTTTTTGATATACATTCCAAGAAAAAATATTTATAACAATATACTTTTAAAATATTTAAACAAAGTCAGAACTCATGACTTTTTTTCTACAATTACATATTAAATATTTGGCACTATTAATTTGGAATCATAATCGTGCAACAACTCATCTAGACATTTTTAAGGACATTTTTAAGAACTTATGCCATTTTTATCTACTACTTGCTGTTTGTTTCAACTTAATAACCCTCGGTCCTTACAAGTCCCCATGAACTTGATTTTGTCATCTAGCATTTTAATTAATTTTTTACATTTTATTTTATAACCTTCATTGAACAGACGACCCAGTTTTTGGATTTACAACTAATAATGTTCAACTATGTAGCCTTATAATTTTGAACCCAATCCAGAAGACAAGGGAACTTCTGGATCAAGTAGTGGGAAAAATTTGCCTTCGTGAAGGAGTTTTTGATGGCACTAACCAGCATTTGCGTTATCTGGAGAGAAAGACCACTAGAACCTCCCACGGCTAGACTAGCCGCAAGGGGACTCTAACGCATGATCCGTCTTGCTTATCTTCATTCTGTCTGCTTGGTACAACCTTTGGATTATCTTTCTTTTTATCTGTTTCTATAACTGTTTTGTTTTTATAAATGAAAATCTTCCCGTTTGGCCCTATTCTTCATCTGCATTTCTCAGATCACATCTTAGCTCCATTCACCAAATACATCCATTAAAATCTTTCCCTCTCATACTCTCAACAGTTTATCATCACATTTTCTCACAGTCCGTGTCTCAAAACTATTAACAATTAACCTCTGTAACTACTTTATATTTTCGGAATTATATTATTAATTTATCAAATACTCATTTACTTATGTTCATGTCATTTTTTAATTACTCTGCTTCTAATTAGGGATGTTTCTCTTACCTGGATACTCTAATATTTACTCCAAAGTTTTAGGGTGTATTTAAAATATTTTAGTGTTATTTGTAAAATTATGGTAGTTTTGTCAAATGTGACCAGCTTTAAAAAAACAAAAAATCATTCAGACACTATTCATTACGATAACTTAGACATTAATAACTTTGTGATTCTCTTCTAAAAACTCTCACCCAGTGAGATTTTAAACTTTAAACTCTAGGTTAGCCGACTCTCAAGTGTGAAAAGTACTATTTTATCCCCAATCTTACGCATGCCTGCACATATTCCAAACACTTTTGATAGATTTTCTACTCGCATCGTGCCTTCAGTGACATGCAGTGAGAGGATGAGGCTATCAACGATTCTAGACATACAAAGTGGACATTAATTTGACCACTAAGGACATAAGATTTTAAGATTTTGTACTATTATGTTATCACGGAATATAATTTTTTAACAGATATTTAACTAATATTTTATGAAGAACAAACTATGATTTTGAAGCGAATTTAAAAATGAAATATTAGATCATTAAAAAAAACATTCACAGCGTTTAAGAAAACCTTAAGAATACTCTGGAAATAATAAATTTTCTACTATATAAGAATTTCCTCAAATATTTAAATCGAAATAATTTCAAATATGTATTTTCATTTTTGATCGTTCTAAATATTTCGCATTGCTTTTCTTTTTTATTCAAAAAAGCATCGACCATTACTCTTTTCAAAGGTATTTAATTAAAGAGTTGACCCCGGATATCCACATATACCTGCACGTCACTGCTTGCCTTGGATATATTTTCCTTATTTTTGTCAACAATGAAACTATTAAGAACTGCGCATTGCAGAAATGTCCAAAAACTATTTAAATTAAGTAAAAAGAAGCAATTAGATAAAATAAAGAAGGGAAGAATGATTGAAGGAACAGAAAGAAAGATGGCCGTTATCAAATTGGGTTGAATCATCCTTTACGTAACCTTATTGTGAAGACAAAGATCTAATTATCTTCATCAAAGTTACATTATCTATTCAATGAAATGATACTTAGTTCCCATTACTAGATTCGTTTTAATAATATAATTTTTATTTAATTAAATTAACGAGGCAAAAGCTTCTATCTGTTCTATCTGTCCTTCTATTGTTATTGGGGAGACAGTGATCCACTTGCATGGTGCCCACGATGAAGTGATCAACAATAGATGATTACACCAGTTAGGCACTATTAGGTGTGAAAAAATAGTAGATTAAAGAAATATTCTCTTTTTTTACTTTTGACGAAATTCATTTCCTTGAAGTCGTCACTTTGACGAAATGTTCGCTCTGAGCATATACCAGGAAACTTGAATTTTGAGTATCCATCCTTTTCAGAGCAGAAGGAGAAAGAAAAGTCTATGTCAAATTCCGATATTTATCGTCAATAATTTGGCTGTTTATCTGGAGAACTGTCTAGGACAAAGGGGGAAAATTTTTTGTAAGAAGTAGACATTAGTATAAGTTCTGCTAAGATTAGGAAAACAACTGCTGCTATGTAGAATGTATCCCTTGCTGCTGCAGACGAAATGATTCTATGTATTCGAAGAATTATGGCCTGTGACTTGCATGCAGCACTCTATACGAATAGTAAAGAAAACAATGCAATCATTTTCTTTAACTAAGAATCCTACTAATAAGCACTGTTTTATTCCGATTGCGTCTATTTCAATACAATGCCTCTATTTCACTCTATTTCACCACCAAATACACGCTGGTGAATAATTAATCAGTTATATGCAATATTGGTGCAATTTTCCTATCCCCCATCATAATCCAGAATGATGGCGCGCCTATGGCTGTTGCCCTTGTAACTGCACCGTGCGTGTAAGCTTTTAATTTAAGCAACCTTTACATAATACTTTAAAATGATAACCCACATAAATCTTCCAAAATATATTAACAATTACCTCCAAAGTAGAACACCGAAGGCCATCCACCTAGTATATCGGATGTGCATAGGAATCCAGCTGTTATAAATGAAACAAAGGTACCGACACCATATCCGGCGAGTAAGATTGATGCGCTTAAACTTCTCTCTGTTTCTGGAATCCATCGAGATAGGAGATAAAAAAGCACAGGAATTACAGGAGCCTAGATTATATCATTTCATATGATTAGTAATTTAATTTCAATATAACATGATTTTTAAATTCAATAATTTCTAGAAGAAATTTAGATATATTTCTTTTTTCTCTTATAACCAAAAAAATATGTATATGTAGTTTGAAATAATCCATGTTATATCTTTATATCTTTTATCAAATGATTTCATGAGATATCTAAATTTCTGTAATCATGATAAATTTTAAATTTTTTCTGTTCTGCTCTTTTTTTTCTTTTAAAAGTCTCAAATAAAGTCATTTAACGTGTATGCAATGTTTGCCAATTCTATTATTTTATAAAACTTTGGTAAGCTAGTTGAAACTGATGGCATAAAAAAGTTTTTGGTAAATATTTCGATCAAATACATTAATTATTATGTAAGTGCTTAACCATAGATAATTAAATTTTAATCCTTCTCTATGGCTTATAAACTACAAATAGGGTACATGGACTATATCATAGACTGCAAATCAAAAAATGCATATATTTTTTCAAATTTCCTTTGTTTATGCCAAACAAATTAGCATGCATAGTTTAAGATAAATGCTATCAAATTTTAATTAAGAAAAGTATAAGATAAATAAGGAAATTTAACGCTTGCAACCTAAGAAAATCTTAAATTCGCTTCACGAAACTGACAAATATATGAAAAATATTTGAGGAATGTTTAGTAAATTAGGATTCCCAATTTAAACTGTAGTAAAACTTTTTAACTGTCATATTTTTAATATAATAATATCATTTGGTTTAAAATACATTGAATTAGTGTTAGCATTGGTTAGTGTTGGCATTATTGTTAACTTTGGCTCTAAAAGCGCATACGGTAAAATAAGCGTTGCACGGTCCGTTTACTAACGTTGTGGCTTGCATCTGGGTACCAATTTGAACAAATGTTGCACTTTACTTGCTGCTTACTTTTTCCTTAGCAGTTTTCTCGATCTCCCCCCCCCCTATTCGTGAATGTTCATTATCTAGACGTACATATTGGTGTCCATATATTAGCACGTCAAACTCAGTATACTCTAGATTAAGGTAAATAGATTTATAAACCATAATTTAAGGACAAATCAGAGGAGTGCCTTCGGAATTTTGTGATTTGAGGATACCCATATATTTATGAAAAATATTAATTTGTACGTGCAACAAAGACTTTTTGAAAAAAAATTTGATAACAGATATTGGATGCAGAATTATAAGACAAGTGTGGCGTTTTCATCTGTTAGTTTAAGCATGGTGCTTTTGCACTTTTTGCTTGCGTTCTTTTCTAGAGAAAACTATCTTGTTTAATAAAAAATGAGCATTTTCCATTTTTTTTCTCTATTTGATTGCATATAAAAAATAATATGTTCCCATAAAATTTGGAAAGCATTTGAGGACATAAGTTGAAATTTGGAGATATTTTCTGTCCTCAAAGATGATTTTCAACACAATCAGGAAAATTTGAGGACAGACCACAAGACTTGAGGACGTCTAATCACCTTACTCACTAAAAGATGACGTTGATCAGTAAAATCCGAGTTTTCTGATGATTTCGGAAATTGAATGCTAGTCATAAACAGGTCGTCAGTCAGTACTCTCCACGCAACGCTCATTTTGTCGAATGGGAGTCGTTAACCTAGCACATTATTAACTGGCTATCATTAATTAAATGGAACTTTAGTGTAGTTGATGAAAGGGTAAAATTAAAGGCTTATCTTTAAAATTCTTTGCATTACACATTTTTCTTCTAGAGAGTTTTTTAAACTTCTTTTTACTCAAAACTGACTACTCGAAAAGTTCAAAGGTAAGTTTCAGCATTGAGTGACTCTATATTGCAGACCTTGAGTGGGCATAAAAAAGTGATGAGACATAAAATTTATTAGTATAGTAATTCTTCTCGTATTTTTCCTTCTCAAATGACTTACACGCTTGTTAAATGTGTTGCATAAACAAACGTTCCAACTAAAGATCACTGATAATTGTACTAAATATAATTTTTATTATCTATAATTTGCTGATATAATGTTTGATGAAATATTTTATTTTGTAACTTTTATATTCATTTCTTAGTAATTACTTATTGAAAGGATATTAGAAGTCATAATCACAAATAACTAACCGCGATACTCATTTCGTTGAAAGGATTTTACAAAACATTTTTATCTTCATTTTATCTCACTCTTTTTTATAATTTTTTTTTCATTTTGTTAATCCTTTTCATCACTTTGTCATTCTTGGTTGATTTTAATTATCGATTAGTTGTTTGCCTATAATGAACTTTCCAAACACTTTATAAAAATTGTTTAAAAATGTCTTAATTCAGCGATAATATCATAATTTTATATAATATGATTGATCAGTGACAAATTAGGTTTTAAACCTTATTTCCTCCGCTTATTTAACCGGATTATTTATTTTATTTATTCGATCATCGGAATCAGACTTCCTTTGATCTTCGGACTCCAATTTACAGAATCCATATAAAATGTATTCTCTCCTGAAACTGAATTTACTGTTTGATAGAACAATTGTATAAGTCAAGATAGAGCAATTAGATAGAACAATTTGTTAGAACAATTAGATGAACAATTACTTAAAACATCTTCAGGGAAGAAGTTTTGTGAAAATAGAGAAAATCTTTCTTCAAGGCACTGAAAATTCATTAAATATCATGAGAGGTAAGTTAAAATAAATATCATGAGTGGAAAAACATAAAAATTTCTTGCAAATAAGCGGCTTAAAACTCACGAGCTAATTTTTAACAGTTAAGTATGCTACAAAAAAATAAAGGATATATTTGTGTCGCATTACAATCTAGCAGCAGATGAAGGCATGCGTTTAAAATATCTATATTGAATCCATTTACGTTTGGTTATTTCTTTAATATTTGTCCAGACTTAGTGATAACTATGGAGCTAACCTAGAAAGTACTTTAGCAGATTAAACTTTAAATGCAAGAACTAATCTTATTTTATTTTATAACCGCGCATCTAATAGCTGACCTATTTTTTAATTTACGACCATCGTCGTTCAACTCCGTAGCCTAATGATTGAACTCAACCCAGAAAATGAGAGAGCTACCGAATAAAGCATTTTGACAAACAATAGGGAACCAAACTAGATTTCGTGAATGACTTTTTGGTGGAAGCCACATTAGCGTTGCGTCTAGAGGAAATCCACAAAAAACCTTACACGGTTAGCTTGATATTGGCGGCAATGGGATTTTAACTCATCCATCTACCACTGAGGATATTTTACGTCAGCACTGTGGTCGATGCGAGCCGGAAGCAGAATGATATCGACCAGTCACCACTGGAATTCGAGCCTGCGTCATCTCATCTGAATGCAAGCGCTTAATCTCCTAGGCCCCCCGTGGCTAATTGTAGATTAATTTTGTATTTTATTGAGAAGCTTATCTTATTTTAAGTGTGCGACTACCATTGTTTAACTATATAGCCATGTAATTTTGAACCCAATCCAGAACACAAGAAACCCCTGAATCAAGGACTAGGAGAAAATTGTCTACGTGGAAGAATTTTGATGGAACTGACCAGCATTTGCGTTACACGGAGAAAAAAGTCACGAAAACCTCATGCGGTTAGCCTGAAAAGTTTTTAGTACTTTTTAATTTCTTCCAAATATTTTTAAGCTTATTACAATAAGCCTAAATGACTTTAGGCTAATTAGAAAATGTGCGAGGAATAATTACACAAAATCCACTTTGGCTTGTTGCAAAAAAAACCCTTTAATGAGACTATGCACAATAATAATTCATTAATCTGAGTGTATTTTTCTTTAAATTTTATTTATAACAGTCGTTGAACTGCTTTTTTATAATTGCCACTGATCAAGCACGTTCCCGGGGTTGAGGTTGGCTGGAATAATGGCCAGACGCGGATTATACAGGTAAGGGTTTTACTAACCTAGGTACGTATCCGCGTCTGGAAGGAAAGAAAGTAGTTGAACAGCCGACCCAATTTTTGGGTTTACGACTACGAATGTTCAACTCCATAACCTTGCAATTTTGAACCTAATCCAGAACACAAGGAAACTCCTGGATCAAGTATTGGGAGAAATTTACCTTCGTGAATTACTTTTTCATGGAACTAACCCGCATTTGCGTTACATGGAGAGGAAAACCACGAGAACCTCCCACGGTCAGCTGGACGGCAAGGGGACTCTAACCTATTAACCGTCTACCACTGAGGATATTTCACGTCAGTACTGTGGTCGGTTCAAGCCGGATGCGGAATTCGTATCGACCAGCCATTGCTAGAATCGATCCCGGTTCAGCTCACTCTAAAGCGAATGCTCTTTCCCTTGAGCCATCGCGGCTCAATTTGAGGGTATTGTAAAATGCTTGAAAAAAAAGTCAGTTGAGCAATAAATTATATATTTTCGAATTTTTATAAAGCTTAGTTGCCTTACTTCAATAAGCCTAAAATGTGCTACGCCGATTGAAATATACAAGTGAATTATGTAACTTGCATTACGCATTACAAAATGATGATTATTGTTTGTAAAGAGCCGGTTATTCTATTAGACATCGGAATTGTTCCTTTAAAATGCATTTAAACACTATTTTATTCCTTTTTTTATTTTATAGGTTAAAATTACGAGATTGTATTATTATTAATTCTACTTAAAACCATATTATTAATTCTAATTTTTCGGCTGTTTTATAGGGAAAAAAAAGTAGAACTCAATATATTTATTAAAAAATTACAATAAGTACTAAAACTTCAAATATTTTAACTCACCGTTCCAACACCAACTAGGAACCTGCATACCCCAAACAATATAATAGAAACACGTGCTGCAAAAGGGGCTACAAAAGTACACAAAGATGCTAGCAGTATGAATCCCATAATTGTTCTTTTGCCACCGTATAGTTCTGCCATCCGGCCGCCAGGAAGAACGCCAACTAATTGGCCATAATACAGACAGCCAATCAGCATACCTTCTGTTTCTGGACTCCATTTAAACTCACCCTGTTTACTAGAAGACTGAATAAAGGACAAATAATTATTCTTTCAGCAAAATTTTATGAGTCAGCTTTTAAGACATTTTAAATAAGTTGAAATTGTCAAATTTGAAATCGTGTTTTCTCAGCTACCAGAATTTTTGAAAATATTCTTCAGGTTCTTCAGTTACATTTGTCAAATAAGAAAAAAAGTGTAGTTCTCAAAAAAGTTTATAGTTTTAAATTTGAAAAACCTTTCGCTGAAAAGCACAACAATTATATTAATTGCGCTGAAATCGTAGTTTGAAGTTTTATAGATATCAAAGAAGAAAAAGGAAACGTATTTATATACAGGGTGTCCCAAAACGACCGCATAAACTCTGCACAGCTAGATTCCTCGTTGGGAGTACATAAAAACTGCCCAAAGAAGCGTTCCTGTACTATCCATAGTTTACGAGAAAAATACGAAAAACAAAGTATGACGTCACTGCCGGTGCACGAAAAAAACTTTATTGGACTTATCAACAACGGTAATTGCATATCTTTCCAGACGATAATGTTTAAAATGTTAAAATCTTACATCTGCTTTAAATTGTGCATAGTATACTGCTGTTGATATGTACAATAATGTGTTTCTTCTTGGAACCGGCAGTGACGTCATACTTTGTTTTTCGTATTTTTCTCGTAAACTATGGATCGTACAGGAACGCTTCTTTGGGCAGTTTTTATGTACTCCCAATGAGGAATCTGGCTATGCAGATTTCATGCAGTCGTTTGTATAATTTAAAAATATATCTTCTCAACTATCTAAAAATTATTGCGCAATCATTTAGACACTCCAAAATATAATAATATCGTAATTAGGTTACGACACTCGTTACTAGCAAATTAAAAATGTTGGTGCTTTTTTAATTGTATGTTTCAACACATGCAATTCAAAAATCCTATTTTTATTAAAGGAATATTTTTATTATTTTAAAAAAGACTAATTACTGTGTGTTTTCAAAATGCATTTATATTACATCATCCTCGGTATTTAACATTTTGATAATGTAGGAGACATTATTGAATAATATATATATATATATATAAAAAATGCCACTGATCAAGCACGTTCCCG